ATAGGTTAGATTATGGAGTAGGTAGATGCTACTGTAGAGTGAGTAGATGCTACTGTAGAGTTGGCAGATACTGCTATAGAGTAAGCAGATACTATTATAGAGTCAGCAGATACCACCTTAGAATCAGCAGTTACTACTATAGTCGGTAGATACTACTATAGTTAGTAGATACTACTACAGTCTGTAGATACCACTATAGTCAGTGTAAACTCCTGCAGAGTCAGTATATATGACTAGCAAGTCTGTAGACTGCTATAATCAGCAGATACTGCTACAGAGTCTGCAGATACCAGAATTTAGTCTGCAGATACTACTATGGAGTCTGCAGATACTGCTACAAGTCAGTAGATACTACTATAGAGTTAGTTAATACTATAGTCAGTGGATACTACTATAGAGTCAGTAGATACTGCTATAGAGTTAGTATATACTGATATAGAGTCGGTAGATACGACTATAGAGTCAGTAGATACTGCTATAGTCAGCAGATACTGCTATAGGATTCGCAAATACTGCTATAGTTAACAGATACTACTTAAACGTTAATAGTCACTACTATAGTAGTTTATACTACTTTAGAGTCAATATATATGACTATAGATTCAGTAGATACGACTATATGCATTAGATACTACTGCACAGTCAGTATATAGTCCTATAGAGTTGGTTGATACTACTATAGAGTTGGCAGATACTACTATTGAGTCAGTAGATACTACTACAGTCAGTAAATACCACTACAGTCAGACAATATTACTCCAGTCAGTAGATACTATGGTCAGTAGATACAACTATAGAGTCAGTAGATACTACTGTAGATTTAATAGATACTACTATAGTCAGTGGATACTACTTTAGTGAGTAGTTACTACTTTAGAGACGGTATATACTACTATAGATTCGGCAGATACTATAGAGTCAGTAGGTAATACTACAGTCAGTAGATACCATTATGGTCAGTATATACTGCTACAGAGTTGGTCTATACTATAGTCAGTAGATACTGCTATAGTCAGCAGATACTGCTATAGAGTCAGCAGATACTACGATGGAGTTAGCAGTTACTACTATAGTCAGTAGATACTACTATAGAGTCAATATATACTACTATAGATTCAGTAGGCACTACAATAGTCATTTGATACTATTGCAGAGTCAGTAGTTACTACTATAGAGTCAGTAGTTACTACTATAGAGTCGGTAGATACTACCATAGAGTCGATAGATACTACTATAGTCAGTTCGCTAATACTACAGTCAGATTCCACTACATTCAGTATATACTGCTGCATAGTCAGTAGATACGACTATAGAGTCAGTATAGACTGCTATAGTCAGTAGATACTGCTATAGAGTTATCAGATACTGCTATAGTCAGCAGATACTACTATAGCGTTAGTAGTTACTATTAAAGAGTTGGTAAACACTACTGTAAAGTCAGTAGATACTACTGTAGGGTCAGTAGATACTACTATGATCAGTAATTACTACTACAGTCAGTGGTAACTACCATACAGTCATTCGCTACTATCGTGCTCAGTAGATAATTACTGTACAGTCAATGGATACTACTATATAGTCAGTACATATTACTGTAGAGCAAGATACTACTGTAGAGCCAGATACTACTATAGAGTCACTAGATACTACTCATTCTATTATATGTAGGGTGTGTAGGGATACAGTATATGCCTTTTAGATCAACCATTTACCCCCCACTTTCTATAACTTTTTGGACTTCTGCAAGCCTCTTATAATTTTATTGACGGACAAATGGACAGACAAACGTCGCGCCGGTCTTTAACAATAGATTAGTACTTGTGTATGTATATGTTATGTTTTTAAGAAAAGTTTTGAAATATATATTTTTCCCCGGGCAACGCCGGGTACTTCCCGCTAGTATATAATATATTTCTTTCTAAGACACTGTACTTACCACCTTCCAATCACACTTACCCCTTTGCCATCATCACAGCTATCCCCACTTGGCAGTCTGAATATACCACTCAACTAATTTGAACACCCTTATACAAGACTCACTAATGGAAGCCATAAAGGATTACAGTGCTGCAAATTAGAATTCATGTAAGCAAGCCAGCATCCCAGATTGTTAGTCTAAAAAAATTACAACCGTTATCAAAACTAATCAGTGAAAATGTCATTCCTTTACATTACATACTGATTTGAATTATGTCTGCTGCTTTGCGACGGATGACAATACAATTAATGTTAACTTTTATATATGGATCAGGCCTTAAACGTCCTTCATAGTACTTGGCCCAAAGCTTATCAGATCAATATGAAATTAAATACATACAATTGAGATAGCAATACATTCTTAAAATATCAACTTAAACATATGCATGAATGTTTATTGCACGTATACATTATTTGTTTAGCCAGATATGGAAAACTACAGTTATAGCGTGCAGGGACAGTTACTTATCTATGTTGCATATAATATTCGGTGTGGGGATATGGGCTACGATACACATTTGCAAGTTGATGATTGGTGACCTTTAGTCGACTTTGTCAATGACGGAGCGCTTTGGCAATTCTGCACAGACGTTGCTTTCCATCTCTGTGTAAAGTGCCTCAACGGTGAGCACGCTAATCACCAACCTATCCAGTTGTCCATTGCATTTAATTAAAGCCTTATGAAATATAAATAAATTGACCATGTAGAAGTCTATCAAAGACTCACAATGTTGGCTGCATTTTGAAAGTAACTCATGCAAGTCAACTCAAGCATCGGACATGGTGCGATTTAGTGGGCAACTTATTTCCTGCCAGAGCTGTTTTATTTGCTTGAAGTTGTGGCATGGATGTATATTATTTACTAGCTTTGCTACCCGGCTTCGCCCGGGACTTGAATTCACCACGCACGGCCGCCTTTGTCTCCCCAGTGACGATGTTCCCACACCACACCAGTTACTCGTTTGAGGCTGTGTCGACCTAGGGGAGGCCCAGGACCGGTTAAAATAAGCGTCACTGGCGGTGGTGGCCGTGACACATAGACGCGCTTGATGCAGACACACACAACTTTCAGGGTGCGTACGGCAGTAAACGACTGAAATAATAAAGCAATGCTGTGCGAAGAACGCCTTAGACCTGCAACACATTTGTATTTAAACTTTACCCGCGATCAGCAGGCACACTCCGATTTGCACGGTTGCCTTACGTACGATGCGAAAGAAGTTCAACATACATATATACATGGATAATATGATCTCCATAAAGTGGGTGCCATCTCTGACGACGCTTTAAATGCAGCTGGGCAAACGAGGCACTAAATTGGAGCATGTTTGTTGGACCGTTATTGTTGAAGTAACCGCTGTGATTGTCGAACCGTATGTTTCTTTAAAATAAGCACCCTCTGCTGGATCGACTGGTAATGTCCACACTTACAAGGCTTTCATTATGTTAGAGCTAGTCAAGCCAAATGACATTTCCTTTACGAAACGTGTTTAAGCATAACAAAAAAAAGTATCTATTGGAATTAACTTAAGACGTTTAAAACATCACTGAATAATTGTGGGTTTTGCTTTTCTTCACTAAATACAATGCTAACGATTCCATGTACTAGATACATAGTTGCTGCTTAATATTTTTGTTCCAACAATGTACAGTGTATTATGTTTTGTACTCTTCGTTTCATACATATGAGAATATTGTTGATATTAATATGCAAGATTGTCATGCAATCAGCCACTTGTCCCTTGGTTAATTCATGATGGAATACAATAAAGTATGCAGAGACAATTGCTCATGTACATAGGCATATGGCACGTTTATGGAAGCACATTACATGTATGTATGTATGGATGCTTGCTTGTTAAGACAGTTAGACGTGAATGCAGTGAGGGTTTACAACGGTTCTGCATGTCCAGCTCAGATTCTAAGCACTCGTGCTTAAAATGTCTCAAACCGTAATAAAGCCATCACATTTGCTGAAAAGCAACTGTTCGTTAATTGAAGCAATTGGCTGGACCCCGGGGTCCCATCACTGTCTCCCCCGGGGTGGGAAAAAAAACCGAGTAGCGACACGAGTCTTGTTGCCTTACCGACAACAACAAAGCTAAGTGGTCAATCGATTGGCCTCGTCGAGGCACTAAGTTTCGTGAAAAGTTGAAAAATTACACAAAACACGTTAAATTCACTGCCTGCGGGGGGGGGGGGGGGGGCTCGCCTTGGCAAAGAAGCTGAGAGGATCGACGGCTGACCAGGAGGGCGTCGTCGGCGTCGTCGTCGCCGCGCGCGACTGCGGCGGACGCCCCCCGGGGCTCGCGTTTGGCCGGTGGGGTGGCGCCCGTCGTGTCGGTCGCCGCCTGCCTGCTGCTGCTGCTGCTGGCGGCGCGTTGCTGTCGGGGTCACGAGTGGGCGGACTGAACAACAACAACAAAAAATAATTCAATTGCAGAACTTTTAAAATACACGTTGATTGGTCCATGTTTTATTTGCATTGTTAGGTAATGCTTAATTCATACTTTGATGTAAATGATTAATTAACAGGTAGTATGAAATAAAAAAAATAAAAATATATGACGTACAATAAAAATCGATTTAAATTTCAATTAATAGCTTTACATACGGTGAGCTTTGAGCAGACTGTGCAGGAGTTAAGCAAGTGTGGCTTTGCGATTTCGCCATATGTTTTCTTTTTTTATGTTTTATTATTGTTAAAAATTGTCTTAATACGATGTGTATGTGTGCATGCACGTCCCACGTTCAATGCCTACGTCTGTAACAAACACAAACCAACTAATCGAGCAGTGCAACACGAAAATCTGTTCTTGCAGCCATCGATGTGAACGCAATAGGATTGTTATTATTCGCCTTTAAACCAATGCTAGCTGCCCGAACAGCAGCAAGAGTGCGAGAGTGGGCGAGGGAGGGGAGGGAGGGGACAGCAAGCCGTGAGTGCGATAGAGAGAGTGACTGCAAAATGTGCACGGACGCACACAAGCGGTTGGCGATACGGGCAAGCGAGAGAGAGAGAGAGAGGGGAGAGGCGCTCATCTATTCGCTTCCGAACTGCAAAATCACCAGAAGGTCAACTCCCACGAATGGGAGCAAATCGAATTAATGTTTGGTTTCTGCCTCGACCCGTAATGCGATCCCTCCTGTGTTAATACCGCGCGGAGCTCTGTAATCTATGCACACGTCCCCGTGAAGATGACGACGGGGGCGGCTGCGTGGCACGGCAGCGCGCGCGGCGACTGCGCTGACTTGCATCGCGTTTCTCGCGCGTGTGTGCGCGCTGCTCCCGCCTCGCTCCACCCGCCTCGGAATGCATCCTTAACAGCGCCACAGTGCGCCTGCCTGCCTTCCAAAACGAACGCAAGCGGCAACCTCATCATCATCATCATGTGCCGAGACATGCACTGGCGGAATTCGCAGGGCGCTTCAGCGTATATAGATCTGCACGCAGCTGTACCGCCACTGGGAGGCAACAATAACAAGAAAAAAAACAGCCGGTGAATTAATGAAGGTGCCCTTTTAAGCTCGTGTGCGCGCATTCCATGCCTTATTTTTTCTCCAACTCGGTCATTGGACTTAAGCAGAAGATTATTCCGCTGGCTGGACGTCCAGGCAACCAGACCGTGGGGGAGAGAGAGAGAGAGAGGGCAAGCAAGCAATCGCGGCGGGCTTAACACTCGGGGCTGTCCCACAGTCTCTATAAGTAAATGGACGTAGCGTCGGACAGTCAAGGCGAAGCTTGTTGAGCCTTCTTCGAAAAGTGGATTTTTTTTTGTTTTGGGGGGAGAGGGGGGTTTGTTCTCGTGACATCTTTCCCGTCCTTATAGTCAATGTGTCGACGTTAATTACACGGTCATCGAACAAGACGTGCCAAGAGCGGCCGGCGAACTGTCGCGTATGTGTCTTCTTCAATCACCGGTCAGCAGTGCAGAGTAAAATCGGCCACACATTCTTGGTCGGACAGAGACTCTGTGCCTCTTGACGCCGTCGTACTAATCCACCAGATGAATGTGACTGGGCATCCAGAAAACTTTACCATGGCAATCAACAAGAAGATGCAGGCTTCGTGTCGGATATTAGGCGCCCGTCACCAGTCGCTGACCCTTGTTATCTTACTTATGAAAGGTAAGTGTGCATCCACTAACATTTGAGTGTATACTGCGCTGAGCAACTTATACTGCGTATACCTTTGTAATAGTGAGTACTATTGATGTGGAAATGTGTTTTTTGAATGCAACTGAGCACAGTCATCAATATTACACCCATATTCCTGAAGCATCGTTGAGCTATACCAGTAATATACCAGAAAATCAGTTTTAAGCTACAGCTCTGACTGTTTCATTACAAAGAACAGCGTCCTGTCTTCTTTTTATTTTGTTCAATTATTCATTAGACTCTTACGTACGAATGAGTAGAGGCTGTCACGTTAAATGGTTAATTCCTGTAAATAATTCCTGTTTAATTTCAAAGGCTTTCAACAGCTCCTGTGTTGTAATTGATAAAATCATATGGATAGTTGTAAATCTTGCATCATCCAACACATTTTTTTCGTTAAGTTTAATTGTTGTATTTGGTAGATTTTTTTTCGTGTCATTGAAAGAAGTATGAATTTACTCACGGACAATAATCTTGTTTCTTTATTTGAACATAAACATTGTATATCTCCATAATGTTTAAACAATTATCCCGGGATACATGTTGTTTATGTTTCAGTCATGTTGTCTCACAAAGGGGCTATATTTTCAAAATAGTTTTTGCCTTCACCTTTTGGACTCTTTCACTAAATCCAAACAATCCTTCGGAGAACCGAGTCTTTGCTGTGATGTCTCATGTTTTAGCTAATCGACTAAAATTAGGTCGTTAAACTTTTGTAATCCTTTTTGCAGCTGACAGCAGGTCACTTAGGCATTAATGGCTTGGGGAATGTATTAAAGGCTGAAATAGTTGCACATTATCGCGCAGAGTTTGTGGATATATCATTATGAAAGCTCTGGATTCATGCACATTGAAGTGGAGGTGCTGTCGTGAATACATTCATAACCACATCTTTAGCATTTCACCACTACTGTTAATTTATTTTGTTCCCTAAATAGCATTTACAAACATGCTGTAGTCACAGTATGTCGTCTGGTTACTATTAATATTGTGACGTGTTTATGTTGTGTGTTTGAGTGTATAATGCTTATGTCATGCAAGCACTTCACCGCTTTTGAATGGATGGAGCAAGCAGTTCCTTGGTGGATGGGGAAAGCAGTGCCAGGCAGCAGAGGGAGTTAGAGGTGGAGAGAGCATGAGTCTGGAAAGATTGTGCTTGTTATGTAGGCACAGCATGTGCACGCTGTTCAAATAAAAATCCTTGGTTATAAGAGCACCACGCCAACTCACCTGCTGGTGGGTGTACGGTTGCCAGAATTCACACTTTGTGGGTGTCTCGCACATGTACTAGACCAAGGCTTTACCACTAAATAGTAATGTTTTGAATACCGTACACGATTGTGGTTGAGAAAGGTATCGATTGTGTTTAAATCCGCAATTGGAAAAATATCTCGGATTTGTGGTTTCAGATTGTTTTATACCTCAGGAATAGCAACTGCTGAGAATACAAGTCACCAACAATTTCATAGTCATAGAAACCGCATAGCTTCAGCCAGGTGGCTCAGCGGCAGAGCGAGTAGCACCGAATCAAAAGGTTGCGAGTTCAGATCCTGGTGAGGGGTTGGCTCAGCCCATCATACCCCCCCCCCCCTCTGGAATCAATCAAAAGAAGAACCGCTCTGCGGAAAGGTACACAGTGTGTGTCCTATAGACTTGTGGCACCACAGGAATGTGGCATTTCGACCACTGGATCAGGCCTGTATAAAGGAGATGAGCCCTGTCTCAATGCTCATTTGGGCAGGAAATTACTTTTATGCCATCCATGCAAATGCTGAATGGGCCCCCACAGCCACAGGGAGGCCTATAAAGCTTCTGGATTTGCTGATGGGTGAAACTACCCCAATTAACACCCAGATGCACACAGACAGCATTTTTGAGAAAAATAAAAACGTTAATAGTATGCTATCAGAAAGTTGTTATCATTCATGGAAGCATAATTTGATATATTATTTATGTTAAATCACAAATGTTTCTCTAATCTGTCACAGCGGTAATAAAAAAAAGTAAAGCAAATTTTAATTGATGACGGTTTCCATTTTTTCGTGTTGAAATTTAACGTCTATATATAATCCACTTAATTTACGAAGATGAACTGGACCATCGCAAAACTATACAATCGTTCTCGTGTAATAGGTCAGTAGGCAGGTGGGAATTTGAGTTAAAGGATTTTATGAATTAAACAACTGTTGTTGCACATCAAACTAGGTTACACCTGTCAATATCCGATACACACGTCTAAGTGGAAAAAACATTTCCGGCAGTTATTTGTATAATCGTATGTCTATGTGGTGTATTGTATCAGCATGGCCTAAATGGGTTTATACTAGCTCATCAGTGGCATCTAGACCCAGTCACTAGCAAGAGGCATGCATAGACAGATGATATGCACATGCATACCAATAGTAAATTTAGAAACATGCATTTACAATATTTGGTTGCTATACATTTCCACATGATAAGCCACTTCGGTGAGCTATCATTTGTGGTCAGGTCGCTTCTGAAAAAGAGCTGCATATAGCTCAGTGGGTCTTACCTGGTAAAATAAAAATAACATCTTTATCTTTGCACATACGACATTGCATTAATCACACACAAACTGTTGATATACTACATGTGAACGCTGAAGTCTGAACTTCAGATATACTTTCCATGCCAATCGCAAAATATTGCATCCTAATATCCAGTCAAGCAGTTCATAGCGGCTTCACCCATTCAGCAACAGTGAATGCACTTGAAGATGTGCAGCAACAGTCGCTGCTTACTCATTTAAACGTATGCTTAAAAAAAAACACCCACTTTAATAAGACGTTTTTGTATATTTCTGTCACATTGACTACTATATTGCATATATTGCAGCAATAATCTGTGACAGTGATTGCAGAATAAAGACAATCAGATGGGAAATGGAGTGCCACAATAATCCATCTCATTCATAGTTTATATCGTAAAGTAAAACATAGTTTTGAAACTGCCCTTTGTACATTCCCTCGTGAATTTGCAGCACTGCTACTGTAATAAAATGTTTGTATTCGGTAGCTTGATGGCCTGCTACAGTGCTTACAACGCTGTCTTTGAGCTCGTGTGCGTGCAGGTTCATAGTGATAACCAAGGGACCCCCTCCACCGTAAAGCAGGTCCTCCTCCCCCTTTGAAAAATTGAGCTGCAAAACATCGTTTTGGCCATTTGGTCACCAACATTATTATAATAAAAACCCACACAAAGTGATTTCTGCATCATGGCTGCGCCTGCTTCCAATGTCCCCTGCTGTGTCGAAGCTCGATGGTGGGGCTTCGATCACAGTGTCGTCTCCCTGTCTCTCCCAGTCTTTATGTTTCTCCATGTGTATGTGTGTCCCTGTGTATGTCACTGTCTCTGCCCTCGCTCTCATCCAGCATCACCATCTCTCTGTGTCTCCCTGTGTCTTTCTGTGACTGCCACTGTTAATTAAGTATGTGTAACGATCATCATGATCCATCATCACCCATCATCATCATCATAAAACACATCCACCATCATCATAAAACACATCCACTATCAAAATCACCATCTGTACCATCAGCCACAGTACTCAATCATCATTGTCATTATCATCATCATCTTTACCATAATTCATCATCATCTATCCAACATATCCATCACCAATATCACGACCAACATCACCATCATTCATTACAATTAATTGTAACCATAATCCGCCATCATTAATCCATCACTATCATTGCCATCATTACGCTAGTCGACAATCATCAATCCATCAAATTATTATCACCACAATTCATTACTATCCATCATCTCCATCACCAATGTGACCATTATTCTTTAATGTGACCATCACCCCCCCTCTCTCTTTTCGTCTGCCCCCCCCCCCTTTTGAATGCTGCCTCAGTACACTTCTGTTTAACACGTAGGCTTTCGCGACCTATAATAATATAGTTTTTTTTGGGTTATATCGCGTAAATATGATTGTCGTTAAACCCGCCACCACCCGACACAGCCAATTTAGTAAGGTTTGTCACGTAAACAGAACATGCCAATTCGTTACTAGTACAGCACACCGGTGTGTTGGAGAGCAAATCCACAACATTTACAATCTCAGTACACTTCTGCTTAATGCAGTGTGCATCCACTCTCTCAGCCAGCTTTGGGTCAGTTTGTACAGGTTCCTTGAGTCAACTTGCATCAGGTCATTGCTGTGATCATTATCAAAGTGTCACTGCTTGCTGTCATGTGGGAATTAAATATTGCAAGTGAACCATTGTTTGCTGTGTTCTTGGCCAAAGCACCAGACATGAGTTAAAATATAAGGATGTGATACAATGGTTCTCACCTAAATTTAATGCAAGATTGTGACTGCATTTATTTTTCAGTGCTCAGAATGATCCATCATTTGTAGCTCATGTCGTAAAAAAATTACCAAATAATTAGACATTTCCAATATTAGCCATCACAACAATAATTTCACATGTCAATTTCAATTATAATTTCCCCCCTTCTATATAATTAATTCACTGTATATTATTTTTCAGTGTTTTTTTTATATTCAACTCAAGGGAAAGGGATTAGCATAACATATTGCACACTCAAATGGTTGCAACAGAGGTGGCCGGTTGGCTCAGGGGTCAGAAAATTGAGCCAGCATCGCAGAGATCCTGGGTTCGATTTCAAAGCAGTCACCTGCGATTTAACTGGGTTCTCAAGTGCAGTATGTATGCATGTTGAACTCCTTTTGCGCCGTACGTAGCCAACCATGCTGATTGGAGGTGCAGTGAGCTGAATGCTTGGCTCAAGACACCAATAACTGAACAGAACAAACAAACATTTAGTTTTTCAATTCAATTGGCTTATTGCAGCGCTGATAATTAATTTAAAAAAATCTCGGTTTGGTTGACATTTGACAAACAATATTTGCAGGGTATTAAACGAAACGGCATGCCTCTAGTGTTGATGAGGAGACCTCCTTTAAGTGATTT